TGCCCAAGGTACTACATTCACTGACACTGATGTTTCTAAAATCAGGGCTTCTTAAAAATGTAAAATCAACCCAAATAGATGGGCTTTCTTTTTCCTCACATATTTTTTAATGAGGATTTGTATTATAAAAATAACACTTTCTATACTTCTAACAGTACAGAAAAATATGAAACATTAAGTTACCCTACCACTCTGGCCCCTGGAGGTAGCCATGCTGATAGTTTCTAGTGTATCCTTCCAGAAGCTTTCCATCCATCTGCAAACATACATTTATTTTATTTATTTATTTACTGAGACCAAGTCTCACTCTGTCGTCCAGGCTGGAGTGCAGTGGTGCATTCTTGGCTCACTGTAACCTCCGTCTCTCGGTTTCAAGCAATTCTCTTGCCTCATCTTCCCGAGTAGCTGGGATTATAGGCACCCGCCACCATGCCCAGTTAATTTTTGTATTTCTAGTAGAGATGGGGTTTCACTGTTTGTCAGGCTGGTCTCAAACTCCTGACATCAGGTGATCTGCCCACCTCAGCCTCCCAGTGTGCTGGGATTATAGGTGTGAGCCACTGTGCTGGCCTAAAAACATAGATTTAGTAGGTTAAATATGTATGTGAATATATATATATATATGTAAAATATTTTAGCATATTTGGGGTTATAGTTGTACATAGTACTTTCAACTTGGTTTTGTTAATAACAAATTAGATTTTAACCTGTCTATATGAAAGTAAGAATCATTTCATTTACTGAAAATACATTTTTTAACACCTATTCTCTGACACATGAGAAAATGGGGGAAGCTCCTGAGAAGGGAAATTCATGAACATGGAGCACACAGAATCCTTGTTAACTATGAAAACGATGGTTTTAGGTGTAAACCAAAGTGATTTAATCAGAAGACTTAACTCTTTTGAAACAATGCCTTTTTACCTGCATTTCCATGATTGCAGTTGCACAAAATCATCCCAAGTATATTTTCTCCAGACCCAATTATGTAATCGAATAAGAATGAAAAGCTGTAATACCATTGGCTTGCACCATTCACTGCTTATTCATGAAATTCATACAGCAGTTTCATCCAAGTACTAGGCAGAGTCTTAATTGGGAGGGGGGCACCTGAGTGCGCAGTGGTTACAGGCTGGGAGAAATGATAGTGGCCCACACGTAGAGGTCTAAGCACCCTTCATCTGTTCACAACTCCATGAAACAGGGACGATTCTCGTCCTCGTATCACAGATGAGGAAACTGACTCACAGGGAAGCTAAATGGCTTGCCCAAGGTTGCACCGCTGTTGTGCGGGAAGCAGTGACTCCAGTCTGCGTTCCTAACCATTGAGCAAAACTGCCTGGAGGAAGAAAGCTCCCACAGCTCAAGGAAGAGATGGAAGGAACCTGGGAGTGGGGTCAGGGGACTTTCATAACGAGTGACTCTCAACTTGAACAACAAAGTAGCGAGGCAACATGGTGGGGGAAGGAAAGAGAAGAGGGAGGGTGGGGACCCTGTGCCCTCAGGTCCCATCCTGCAAGGGCCTCAGCAAAGAACAGAGTGAATGTTGAGACCCTGGCAGAAGCTCTGGAATGGCTGAGGAAACTCTGAACTTCGAGGCGGTGCTCATCTTCCCGCCTGGACAGCATCGGGTGGGGTTGATGGTAGCAAAATGTGGAGGACCTGCTGGATAGGCCCCTGAGACCTGGGCCTGGCACCACCTATGCTCATGGGTGCCATGGAGGTTCTGAGAGAACAAGAAGCCAGCAGAGCTGGGCTCAGACCCAAGAGGCCTGGACGGTGGCTGGCCAGTCCTGGGGACACATGGCAGAAACCACGGGCTGCAAACGAAGCCCCCCACAGACCAGGTGGGCTGGACCAGCACAGCCACACCACATGGCTGCAGAAACCCACCAGGAGCCGGGTGTGGTGGCTCACTCCTATAATCCCAGCACTTTGGGAGGCTGAGGCGGGCAGATCACTTGAGGTCAAGAGTTTGAGAACAGTCTGGCTAACATGGTGAAACCTCATCTCTACCTAAAATACAAAAGTAAGCCAGATGTGGTGGTGCGCACTTGTAATCCCAGCTACTCGGGAGGCTGAGGCAGAAGAATCGCTTAAACCAGGATGGCAGAGGTTGCAGTGAGCCGAGATCACACCACTGCACTCCAGCCTGGGTGACACAGTGAGAATCTGCCTCAGAAAAATAGAAATGAAACCCAGCAGGGCACGAAACAGGGTGTGCACGACACTCTTTGCCCCACCTGCCTGCTCGTTGGTGTGAGGATATGGAATTTCCTTTTGCAGTCAGATGCGGTAAGGAGAAGAAAAAGGGGGCAAGATTCTTGAGAGAAAGAGACATTTGAATTGGCTTCAAATTTGCCCATGAGATAGTTAATCTGAAAGACACCACTTTAAACCAGAAGAGACAGGGTCACCTGTAACTGGCAAATGCAAGTCTTTACCTCCCACTTTTAAAATTATTTATTTATTTTCCTTTTCACTGTGGCCCTTTTTTGGTGAAGATGCAAGTCTTAGGCCATGAACAGGAGTGGGAGTCTGAGAACGTTGGTGGCGACTGGAAAACTGGGTTTTGGTATTCCGGATAACAGAAGAACATGCTGTTTTCAAGAACGAAAGCACTGCATTTTTGCTGACATACTACCATTACTGTGTTATATTCCTAACAGTTTTGTGGAGGTCTGAGTGATATACAATAAACTGATCATATTTCAAGGATAGAACTGTAGACGTTGTGGCAAATGTATACTCTCATTAAACCATCCCCAGAAAGCAAGGAGGAAAGTGATGGAGAACAGAGGGATAAGTGCACAGCGATGCCTTCTGCTCAATTAACACCTGCCCTGTCTCCATTCATCATCATCAGTAAAGAATTTATACAACATTGAACTCCTCATTTTAAATACCCGTTATCCTATTTTGCTATAAAATATCCCTGATAAATAAGACATGGAAAGAAAACCTCACAAATACAATCAATTTTGCATTTTAAAATTGTGTTTGTAGGAAACGATGGAACTCTCAGTCAAAAGCATGTCATTGCTATACCAAACATTCATAAGGAAACTGTGATATGAAATTTAAGTATTATTGAGGAGATAGTGTATCAGGATCCCATGCAAAGTTAAGATGAGAAGTTTATAGTAGTTCAGATTTTTGTAAATCACTGTAAAAGTAATTGATATGTACTAGATATCTATTGCTGCATAACAAGTTACTCTGAGCCTTAGCAGCTTGAAACAGCAAACGCATATCTTGTCACAGTTTCTGTGAGTAGGGAACCAGATGTGGCTCAGCTGTGCACCTCTGCTTCAAGGTCTCTCACAAGGCTGCTGCCAAAATGCTGGTAGGGACTGTGGTCTCATCTGATGGCTCACCTGGGTCGAGGGGATCCACTTCCAAGTTCATGCCTGTGGTTGCTGGCAGCATTTAGTTCTCAGGCTGCTGGAGGGGGGCCCTCAGCTTCTCACAGCTAATGCCTGGGAGCCTCCCCCTGCTCCCTGCCACATGGGCCTCTCCACTGGGCAGCTGACACCATGGCGGCTGACTCCATTAAGCCAGTAAGGGAGAGAAGGCAAGTGAGACAGCAGCCAAGGTGAGCAGGATGAAGGTGATATCCCATCATGTTAGCTGTATCCTTGTCTTTGGAAGTGAGTTACTAGGTATAGGTCACAGTCCAGGGGGGATCACTGGAGGCCAGCTTAGAGGCTGCCTGCCACAGACTTCTTTTAATAGAATCTTTTGAGAGAAAGTTTGTTTTTTCTATTGCCAACATTTAAATTCTCTGGTCCTGATGAGCTAACCAGAGTTGGCGTCAGAGCATCTTGAGACCCGAAGTGATATGGTGCAATACCCTATCAAGAAAACAGACGGCCAAGTCTGCCTCCTGTGGCTCCTGGGACCATCACAACAATGTGCCCTCTTTTCTTCCCTTCTTGAAATAAAATTGATTTTAAAAACTCTTCTAATCAGGTTACCAACAAAGTGTTCCGCTGTGTAGAAAAATGCTCTAATGAACGCTGTTTAAAAACTGTCTTTGGTAAACAAGTTTTAACTCATTTAACATATCATTTACATGCATTAAAGAAGAAGCTTAAATATGAATAGGCCCAGAGCCTTGTTCCCAAAACTACCTATCTACCCATCTGATAGTTTGGATGCCCCCTCCAAATCTCATGTTGAAATATGATCCCCAGTGTTGGAGTTGGGGCCTGGTGGGAGGTGTCTGGGTCACGGGGGCTGACTCCTCCTGGCTTGGTGCTGTCCTTGCTATAGTGAGTGAGGTCTTGTGAGATTTGGTTGTTTAAAAGTGTGTGGCACCCCTCCCCACTGCCAACCCCGCAAGCTCTCTTTTGCTCCTGCTCTTGCCATTTGACATGCCTGCTTCTGCATCACCTTCCACCATGAGTTAAAGCTCCCTGATGCAAACAGAAGCAGATACCAGCACCATGCTTACTGTAAAGCTTATAGAGTCTTGAGCTAGCTAAGTTTCTTTTCTTTACAAATTATTCAGCCTCAGATATTTCTTTATAGCAATGCAAGAACCACCTAACATACCATCATTTCAAGGCGACCTGGTGACCAGGTGTCAAGTCCCTGGAATCAGCAGCTGCCTCAAAGGATTACTAAAGAGAAGGACCACGATCCAGAATTTCAAGCTTCTTAAAAGGTGAGAGGCTGGCTAAATGCCAGATGGGAAGGTTGTTGTTGGGTCCCCTGACTTTTGGACAGACCTGGCCTGTGAAGTTCTGCCATCCTGGGTCTGTGTCATACACCCATGACATTCTAATCCATGGGGTCACAGAGGCATTATGTGGACCATTTTTCCATATTTTAAAAAATAAGTTTCTGAATTCTTAGTCTTGGCATTTCACTTTTCTAAAACAAAGCGGAGAAACCTTATGACTCTATATCAATATGCTTCTGTGCTTAAAACATACAATAACCTCAGCCACTAAAGACAGACTGTCTGGATACACCACGATGTAGCTCATGTTCACCTGCATTCGATGAACCAATGGCGGATCTGGTCTTGAAGGTTCTCCTTGATGTCCAGGCCTTCCATCAACTTCAGGTCATTCTTGATGGTTACCAGGGCCTCCCTGTAGTCCTCTTCATGCTTTAGCTGAACCTCATTCCGTAGGTGGTCCACCTTTTCAGCCTGTATTACTGTAGCACTGACTTCATTAAAGAGAGGAGGTGGAGTCTGAAAATACACACAAACAAAAAGGTTTGAGGTCACAAATGTTACAGACTGGTAAAAAAAAATCAGAAACTAAGCAAATGTGTCAATATCTTCCATGGTGTCCTAGAAAAGGCAAATAAGAAATACAAACATTTAGAGGAAGCACAGTTAACTGAGTGCATTTACTCAGCGTATTTAACCCAAAGTCCCTGACGTAATGCTTAATGTTCCTTTGTTTTGAAAGTTTAAGCTTTGTTTGAGGTTTCTCTCCTGTCAACAACATAGATCTGGATTTTAAAAAAACTCAATCTGAGAATTACAGAAATGAAAAGTTTTATTCATTGTATAGAAGAAACATTTGGAGCTAATCTTGTCATCTTAAGTGTTTTATTAAACACACTTTCTTGTTTTTGTTTTTTTTTTTTCCTTTTCTACCTTCTGTTGGATTTATGGAGTTAGCTTTGTTCATTCTTGTCATGTAGTGATGTAGTGGTCTAAAATTATATGTCTTATTTTAATCTTCTACTGGTTATTCTTAAAATTTTAACCTGTTACTTAACACCTATATTTCCATCTTTGTCTAGAATTTATCATTATCTAGAGCTTCTTTGAACAAGTCTAGGAACTATGCATGTGTTCACTTTTCTTCCCACAACCTCTCATTTTAAAATATCATAGACTGCAATTAACTTTGAAAAGCAGCAGATGTTTCCAATTAACTATGAGATTCCTGGTTTCTCTGCTTACCCTTTGCATGAGTCCATTTTTGCACTGCTATAAAAGAATACTGGAGTCTGGGTAATTTATAAGGCAAATAAATTTATTTTGGCTCACTGTTCTGCAGGCTGTATGAGAAGCATGGTGCCAGCATCTGCTTGGCTTCTGGTGAGACCTCAGGAAGCTTACAATCATGGCGGAAGGTAACAGGGAGCCAGTGCCTCATGTGGTGAAACAGATCAAGGGAGAAAGAAGGGGAGGTCCCAGACTTGTATAAACAGCCAGATCTTGTGTGAACTGAGAGAGAATTCACTTACCACCAAGGGGATGGTGCTAAGCCATTTATAAGAGATCTGCCCGCATGATCTATCACCTCCCACTGGGTTCTAACTCCAACACTGGGAATCACATTTCAACACGAGATTTGGAGGGGACAAACATCTAAACCATATCACCCTTGTTCTTGTTTCTTGTATTCAGTTTCATTTTGCTGAAGTGTGTCCTTGAGTGTAACTTTCAGAATGAATAGGTACAGCCATAAATATTTTAAGAACTTGCATTTCTAAAGATATCTTCATTTGGCCCCTCCCACTTAATGGCATTTCGGTAGTTCCCTTGAGGAATACTATTTCTAATATGTAGAGTTTCCAATGCCTATTTGCAAATTGAATTGTTGTTCCTTTGTAAAGAAGCCGTTTCCCTCCCTGAAAGTGTTTAAAATGCTTTACTCTTAGAGTTTTGAAAGTTCATCAAAATGTATCTAGGTGTAGGCATTTCTTCATTCATTGTATTCTCCTTTGGTAGGTCTTTTTAATATAAAGAATTGTCTTCAACTCTTCAACTGTTCATTGTATTATTTCTTTTTTTCCTTTTCTTTGTCTGCAACAAACATTAGATAAATACCATACCACCAGGTTGATCTTTCATGACTCTGAACTTTTATATTTTCTATTTTCCTTTCGCCTACTTGCACTAGGTGATAGTGCAAAGAAGAGAAAAAAAATCATGGTTATAGTGCAAATACGAGATTTCTTTAGCTTTATTTTCCAGAGCTAATTTGACTTTCAGTTATGTCTATCATTAGGATTTTTTAAATTTTCGAGTGGTTATTGTTATTAATTTTTGGCATGCTTTTATTTTCCCAGAATTGTTTCTTATTTTATACTTGCTCCTTTCTTATTTTTTGTAGTAACTATGGAGAAATTTTTTTACATGCATCGTATCTTCAAATATCTCTGAATATACTAGTGAATTACTTTTTCCAAGTTCTTTTTTTTCCTTGAAATTCTGGAGACCTTAAGAAATATAGATTCCTAGTTCCATGCTACAACCAAAAAATTAATTTTGGAAAACCTTCAGGTGACTCTAATAATTACCCAGGTTTGGGAAACACTAATTGTGCTAGAGCCGGGCGTGGCAACCTACAGCTGATGAGTCAATCTTGGCCCACTGCGTATTTCTGTACATAAAGTTTTATTGAAAGTTTATTGTCACAACCATTAATTTATGTATTGTTTATGGCTACTCTCACAATATAATGACAACATTCATGTTCTGACAGAAATTGGGTGGCTTGTAAAACTTAAAATGATGATGATGATGACCACAATGAAGAAGATGAAGAAAGGAGAGGAGGAGGAAAGAGAGGAGGAAAAGGGGAAGGACGAAGAAGAGGAGGAGGGGAAGAAGGAGGAGGAGTTATTTAGCAAACGACTCAAAGAAGAAAATGCAAGTATCGCTTCCTGAGCTTCTACAGAACATTACTCATTGTATAGAAATAGTCTCTTAAAACTTACAAGAACACCCAGCCAAGGCGGGTATTATTATTAGTATTTATTTATTCATTTACTTATTTTTCGAGACTGAATCTTGCTCTGTCACCAGGCTGTAGTGCAATGGCGGATTTTGGCTCACTGCAAACTCTGCTTCCCAGGTTCAAGTGATTCCCCTGCCTCAGCCTCCTGAGTAGCTGAGACTACAGGTGCATGCCACCACTACTGGCTAATTATTTTTGTATTTTAGTAGAGACCGGGTTTCATCATGTTGGCCAGGATGGTCTCGATCTCCTGACCTTGTGATCCGCTCACCTTGGCTTCCGTAAGTGCTGGGATTACAGACGTGAGCCACAGTGCCTGGCCGTATTATCATATAAAATATGAAACCAGAGGTGCTACTTAACTTTCCCAAATTCACACAGCTGGCAAATGGCAGAGGCAGGAAACATTACTTAGCCTTGCTCTGGGATGTTGGGACAATGTACAGGATTCAATCTTGGCTATCTCTGTGATTTTGTGCAAGGTACTGAATCCCCTAAAGCTCAGTTTCTCCCCTTTAATCCAGGAATAGCACTAGGCTGTGAAGATTGAAGAGGACTCTCTGTAAAGCCCTGCTACGGAGCCTGGCATTGAGGGAATGCTGTGGTTGCTATTGCGATTGTTGTCATTAGGCCAGGATGCACCAACAGCTAAGTGGGTGAAACCCAGAAACACTAGGGGATTCTGGAGTAAAGAAACATCCAGGGTAAGAGAACAACATTAAAGCCCACTTTGAACGCTGTGAAACAAGACTATGACAAAATTCAAGACGCTGTTTACAAAAGACATTAGCAAAACTATACATTTAAATCAATTACTTGAAAAGAATCATTATCTTAAAGATTCATGTCATAAACTGAAATAAATTTCAAATGAAGTGGTTAAATGTAACACTCATGTACACACGCACATACACACAATCTCTGAGGAATACCTACGAAACTCTGGAGGTGGGAGGGATTTCGCAAAGAAGATATCATTAGGATACAGTGTCCACTCACTCCACAAAGTCAGTGAAAACAGAAAAGGAAATCACATGTATCATACTTTGTAAAAACATGCATTCTCAGCAAACTGACACAAGAACAGAAAGCCAAACACTGCATGTTCTCACTCATAGGCGGGTGTTGAACAATGAGAACACGTGGATTCAGGGAGAGGAGCATCACACACTGGGGGCAGTTGTGGGGGGGGTAGGGGAGAGACAGTGGGGGGTGGGGAGGAAGGGGACGGTGGGGAGGGATAACATGGGGAGAAATGTCAGGTATAGTATGCACCTAAAGTTAAATAAACAAATTAAAAAAAAAAAAAGAAAATCCTAAGGAGAAATTTGAGCTCATTTTCTAAGTTTAGTAAAATGAGAACATACAACTTCTCTTTTTTTGAGATAATGTCTCACTCTGTTGCCCAGGCTGGAATACAATGGCACAATCTTGGCTCACTGCAACTTCTGCCTCCCGAGCTCAAGTGATCCTCCCATCTCAGCCTCCTACGTAGCTGGGAGTACAGGTATGCACCACCGCAGCTGGCTAATTTTTTGTACTTTTTGTAGAGTTAGGGTCTTGCCATGTTGCCCAGGCTGGTCTTGAACTCCTAGATTCAAGCAGCCCACCTGCCTCTGCCTCCTAAAGTGCTGGGATCACAGGTGTGAACCACCGTGCCTGGCTGAGAACATACAACTTTTATGATGCAGGGAAAAAATCACCCTAAAAATTACTTTAAAAGTGAATATAGAATGAGAATTACAGAAGCATTTTAAAGAACAATGTTAAGCACAAATGATCTAACTGCCTCCATACAGGTGCTCAAAAGCATGACTTTTCTTTATGTAATATATTTTGTGTCAAAACAGAACAGTAGGAATTTCCCTTATACAATCATTAAAAATATCCAATTCTTACGTCATCCAGGTAACGTTTTTCATTCCTAGTGTTTACATCTTAAGTGTGTAAGACAGAGCCTAAATTCATAGAGAGACTTTAATCTCTCCAACAGCTAATTTAAAATTTGTTTTCATGGAGATGTTAAAATGGATCACTGCAATAAACTACCCCATTTTTTTGCCTCTGATGAAGGTGTAAAATTGTTTTGAAGTCTTGCCTTAATAATGTCACAATTATCTACTGTATAATGTATCATCTGATGTTGCTTTTCCCCAAATTACATTGTTCCTATTGTTATTTGTAGGTTTTCTTCATAGACATATACAGGGGTCTTTTCTCCTTTCATCCCTAAAAATGAATGAATGAGCAAGTGACTCTAATTTGTGTCTTGTCAATAGCTCTATAAGAAGTGTCTGGCCGGGTGCTTTGGCTCACACCTGTAATCCCAGCACTTTAGGAGGCTGAGGTGGCTGAATTACCTGATGTCAGGAGTTCAAGACCATCCTGGCCAACATAGTGAAACCCCATTTCTACTAAAAAAAAATAGAAAAATTAGCTGGGCATAGTGCCAGTTGCCTGTAATGTCAGCTACTTGAGAGGCTGAGGC